TGGCCACTACAGACTATAAATGCTATGACATCTGTGAACTTATCAGCCCATTCTACAGGTACTTCTGGGTTCAAGCCATCAGACAAATAAACTTCTTTTTCCAGCGATCGCATCTTCTAATTTTGAACGGCCTCCTGGAACTCCCATGTTCGTTCCTCTTCCAGCAAGGGCATACCTCGTCCTACCATGCGATCAAATCGATGAATAACTCCTCATTCTACTTTAAATGTGCGATATGAGAGGGAGGAAGAGAGAAATTGTTTATGTTGAAAGTATATATTCAAACTTTTCAGCAGGAAATGGCTCCATTCACGGAGAGCATGGAATAAGGCAAAATGTCATAGAATACTCAAAGTTTATAAGCTTACATGATATCCACATTTCTTTTATAGATACAGGTCAGCTTTCATCTTCTGAATTTTCCGTTTCTTCGCACGTGAAGTACCGTGCTAGGAATGGGAGTATAGAGTGCTGACATGCAATGTACGGCAAGGTATATGACATAAGCTTCGGCGCATGGTACGGAAAGGCTTCGTAGCCAGTAGTCCAGAGTGGAGGGGTGAGCGCGACCTCACTAAAGATGCCATCAGAAAATTGCTTGACCATTTTAAAGTGTCGCTGTAGTATAGTGTCAGCTAAAAAAAGATAGGAAACACCGACAGCTAAAGAGAGCATTCAGAGGATAAGTTTAAAAATGTCAAGGTCTCTTTTCAGTAAAACTGGAAAAATAACTGGAGAGCAGTAAAGAATGAGAGGAGAATGTAGGTATTTATAAATCGCCACATTAGGGCTCGCCGTCTGCGATTTTACCGCAAACGGTGGATAAAATATAAAAGTTTGCGGATTTTATTATAAAAAGGTCTTCACTATGAAGAGTTAATGAGAGGTTATATGCCAGAGTAACATCAAGGTACCGGATGAAGGAGACCTTGTTGGGTAGAATTTCAATGTATTCGGGACTGGGAGAGGATCGCAATCGAAAAACACACCGGATTCAGAAGAAGCGTTCAGTTGACCTAATTAACATTATTATTTTCCAAAAGGTACGTCACAGACACACAACCTACTATCCTCTTCACCATTCTGGCCTTCATTATCCCTGCTTCAAACCCCTTCCGCCTCCGAACTGACCCAAACGAAACAGGCAAGTTCATGTTTTAAAAAACGCGCGTTTACTCCTACTGAAAGTGAAAATACACAGTGTGCAAATGTCTAATTTTGTTTGGAGCGAATGTTATTGAAGTGAAGCCGCAAATGGATAAAAATTTCATTCTCCGAGCCTTTCCTTTACTGGGTATCATAACATGATAGACGTATTGAAATACAAAAAGGATAATTTTTAGACATTCACGACCAATCAGAACTCGTCTTGTGAGCGAAACCCGAGAGACCATTAGAGCAACGTAGGATCCGTTGCAAGATCATTACTTTCCGACATGCCGTCGTCGTCATGAACTTTCGATTTCATGCAAATGACAGACCATTTCCGACAGATTTTTAATGGTTTTTGCATTTAAAGTACAAAATCCCATCTAGCAACATATAGTTTTCCAACGACAGCTCTGGCGACGGCTTTGGTGGACCACGAGGTTACGGGAGGTTTTAACCTTGCTCCTAGTTGATATGCTAGAACATGGCAGTTCTAAAGTGACATAGTTTATAGTGATTGTAGATGTGCGCAGCAGATGCAACAACTGTCAATATGACTCAATCAAAACCGGCTAGTCAAAGATCCCGTGGCTCAGTGGTTAAAGCGTTTGACTTTTAATTAACAGGTCGTGGGTTTGAGTCTCGGATGGGGCCTCAGGTTTGGTTAAGTGTGGCTGGCTAACGACGGTTACTGAGCTAGTAGTGGCCAGTTCAGGCTTCCTCGTCCTTGCTGACAATGCTATCTGCCTAGACCACTAGCCAACGTGCGGCTGCTTGTGGGGCTTGAGAATGAATGCCAAGGCAGAGCTGGACATGTGAGACCCGTTAGCGATCGGTGAACGTTAATCAAACAGGTAAGATATCACACTTCCCCCCTCCTTAAGAGTCAAGCAGACTGGATGTGTAATCGGGCGCAGTGGACTGGCGTGGCGTGAGCCGGCACCTTAGTGTGCCCCGACACTGTGTATGTATGCCAGGTGTGGACCCAAGGCCGCCTAAGTCGCGGGAGTTCGGTTTGACGTTTGGGGGAGTAGTAGTAGGTTAAAAGCCCTGTTTTTCCTGCAGGTGCCTTGACGAGTGATTACCCTTGGGTCCATTGTTCTTATGAGGTCGAAATTAGGCAGACGGCTATTGCCAGAATAGAAAAAGGAGACTGAACTGGCCATTTCTGGCTTATTAGACCAGGTCTTTGACCACCCGGAGGTCAAACTCACGACTTATTGAGCCCCAAGGCAGAACGGGACGATTGAGTTCCGATAGCGATCAGTGAGCATTCATCAGTGGGCGTCGAAATTGCAGCGTTCATAAACCCTCATCTGCAGCCGCTGACTTCTCATGGTGAGCAATGCACTCTTTTAGGCTCATAAAATGCCAAGGTTGGGCTTGCTGTTGACCCCTTATTTGAGTAGTACAGCAGCTAGCAGGTGAGAGTTATAGGCGCGACTTTGTGCGACCGTGGTTCCTTGTTGCTATCGCCCAATCGGATACTCAGTTTTTTGACAGGATCGGACCCACGCTGCGTCCACACAGTGGGGCACATGGTGGACTCATGCTAAGCGAGTAGTCATTATTTTTTACAATTTAGATTCCACCAAAGTTTCGCTCTTCGCTTGCAAGCATATCGTTTAAGTATTTTTTTCATTTTTCTTTCTATCCATGCATTTTAGCCACCTAGTTACCAATATGGGGCTCACAGTCATTCTCGCCTACTTTTGTCCCAATAAACTGATACTGGTACTTGAATGAACAAATTGTTTGATATTCGATCAATCGTATTATTCCGGCGTGCCAGACTAACTGAACTTTAACATCCTCGCCTCCGTTTGTTTGCTTGTTAACACAAGGCTAAAGTCTGATCACCATTACGCATATGCTTTTTCATAAGGCACTTGCTTATACTTCCCTCAGTAGACGGATGCTGATATTGGTTACGACCGTCGTAATGTCGTCGTGTTGATTGCAAGTGTAACTTAGTATTTGCTGTTCAGTAGTTTGGTTTTATTAAGGTAAAAATAGGCGAAAAGCAAGCCGCTGTTGGTTAGCCTAAATATTAATCGTACATACTCACTAAACACGAGTAGTATAATAATTGTGATCATTTGCATGGCTGTTAGTTTGGCGTGTAGTTGGCGAAGGAGGTGTTTGATGCATGTCCAGCTTGCTCTTAAGTGTATTCACACAGGTGGAGAGAACAACATCTTCCGGAAGAGCGTTCCACGCTGCAACCACTATGTTACTGAAAAAAAATTCGTATCCATCGTTCTATGCTTTGCCTGGGCGTAGTTTTAAGGTATGATGGCGCAACATGAGCATGCTAGCTTAAGGGAAAGAATAATCGATACAAAGGCAACAATCCAGGCCATTCATGATACACTAGGTTAATATGAGAGCCCCTAGTAGTTGCCTGTAAGAGAGGGGAAATAGATTGAGGGTTAGCAGGCAAATGACATGGGGCAGTGTTTCCAGACCTTTGACCATTTCTGTCGCCCACCTCCAGACCTTCTCTAAGACGGTACAGTCTTTGACAGTCCACGATGTCCATGCCTCTATGGCTAATCCTAAGTGCCGCCCCACGAATACTCCCAAAGCTGTCTCCTTCAAACACCATAAAGGCTCACCTACTCAGTTGCAATATAGACCTGGCTGACTTCGCCGCCCTCGTGTAGTTCAGCGTTGCTTTGAGTAATGAAGTAATCTACACATCCTAGCCTTTCTGGCTGCCAACTTGTTGCAGCGGTGTACTGTTTAAGAAGCAAACTTTTGGGCTGGAGGCTCTACAACTGCCAATTTGAAGAAATTTCTATTTACTAACGTTGAAGGGCATATGCCAATGCTTCGAACAGTCTTCCAGCCTGTGCAAGTT